ATTCAACCTCTCGCCCCTCTCCACTTCCTGGCGGTGTGGGGGTGCTGGGGTTAAAAGTTCCAACCCTGTATTCATGTGGTTGGTTCCACTGGAAACCAGGACCCATCCTTAGATGCTTTCCAAAAATCCACTCTCAACACTTAGGAAATTCCAAAAGTTCTAGGAGCTTTGAGCCAGGAATTTCTCATGTCTCAAGTCTTTACATTTCTCATGCTGTAATAATGGCTCACATGAGGCATTTTCCGGTTTCATTGACCCCATGTCCAGAAGGGCAAGAAGATATCACAAAGTGACCGCAGGGCCTTCCAGGAGCACAGCTTAGTCCTTTTCTTGATGTCAGCTATGTGCACTCACACGTGAACGTGCGTACGTATGTCTAGCTGCCACCCAGGCTCGCCCAAGGCAGGTGAAGGGGCACATGGAACAATGTCAATAGGAAATAATGAAACTGAGGGTCCTCATGATTTTGATTTGATTTGTGTCTACAGCTTTAGAAATCATGTTTTCTTCTGTTTCTCTCTCTCTCTCTCTCTCTCTCTCTCTGTCTTTCTCATACACACCACACCACACACACACACACACACACACACACACACACACACAAACCCTCAGGGACTTAGCTTTTCCCTTGATGATCGTTAATCCTTGAGGCAGCAGAAGACAATGGTCTGGACCTGACTACTGGTCACAGGGTCCGGATCTCTGGGAGACTAAACATAACATCGTCACCTAAATTATGTTTCAGCTCCTGAGCCTAAATTGGAACGACCCCCTGGCTACTTTTCCATGAAACCAAATAGAGGGACATGTAGCTGACCTCAGGGCTGTCCTCAAGACCTGAAGAAATGATTTATTATTTATATCACCTCTGACCAATAAACTTCTAATACAACCCCGAACCCCTAACCCAGAGTGTCCTGTGATTTTGTCCTATATAATCTGTAACCTACATGCCATCGCAGAGTTGGGTCTTTCAGAGCATGAGTTTACCGAGACTCTGATTGGCCAAGTCTATAATAAACTACTTCCTTTTGTTACTGCAAACTCCTGCTCCTGCATTTCTTTAGGCCAGTGTGCACAGGTGCATGGACTCATATTGGGGTTTGATAACAATAACTCTCAAATATTTACATTTCTGTTTGAAATTTATTTCTGGTATTTTTCTCCTCTTTTTTTCCTCTATCCTACCCTTACCCTGAATCTGCTTGTTTGGACGACGATGATTGTGATGTCAATAGTTTTTTCCTGAGCATGTTCTCATTGATAGCAAGGGGAAAAGGCACCATTGAGTTTTCTAAAAACACTTATATTAATCCTCCCATAAAAATGGAGAGTTGGTTGTGGTGTAATTGCTTATCAAACTTATATTTAAAAAAGGTCTTTGCAAGGTAATTGGTTTATAATTAGTTCACAAGAACTGGTGCCTTTAAATACATGATTAAGTTAAGGCTGGGTCTCATCTAAACAAACCATCTCTCTATCCATGTTTTTTCTCTGAAAAGTGGAGACTGCAGTCTTCCCTTCTACATGCAGTCCTCCCAGGAAATATTTCAAAGTCTTGATTGTTTTAGTGTCCATGCCAACCCAGAGATGGCTAATATGTCACAGTAGTCACCTAAGTCAGTTCCCTTGAAAACAAATGGGGCAATGCAATAAGTGGCATTTGCTTTTCCATAAAAATAAATTGACGTAACTTGACCAAGTCTTCTTTCCAGTTTAACGGGGCATGAAACTAGTCTGTGGAACGAGGGCACAAGCTTTAATAAGTGCTTCAGTTGAGCACATCACTAACATCAGCAGAAAGGTAACTATTAACCAGCTTAATTGCTTTACCCATGAGAAGATAAAAATGAACTCTTGCTGCATAGAATCTCATAATGCTATGCAACTTTATCATAATGCAAATAATCCTAGTTCTTCGGTCTCCTGTAGGCACACAGGATCTTCCCATTAGCGTCAAAAGCACAATGATGCCTACCTATTTGGTAGTGTTTTTATAGATTTCACAAATAACTGAGAGAAACAAACTTTCATCACAGAGTTAAAATATTTAATGACAAAATTAGAGTTTGCTGTAATAGTGAATCATGAGCAGGTGTTACTTGTCTCTGAAAGAAAGAAAAATTATATTTGACATCTTAGAGGACGTCTGAAGAATTAATAACTGTACAATAGCCATCAGCAGTGTCACAATTCTAAAAATTAAAAGAGAAATCTATCTTTAATATCCTGTAGTTAGGGCATTCTGTAAACATTTTTACATAAATGCACAACCTTTGCTAGCCACAAAAGTAGAATTAAGACAGATTTCACTGTAATTTGAAGTCTAACACATATCTTTATTTTTTCAGAGCTTAAAAAAAGTTAACTACTGATCTTGTTACAGTTTACAAATACATTCTTTAATATGAATCATTAACCTGAATAACTGTATACTTCCTGTACACAGATATCTAATAATACTAGTGAAGTACACTACGGCTATGTTCCAGGAAGAAGTGATAATACTGGGAAGTTTCTTTTCTTTATGCATCATCAGTACAATTTCCTTCACAGAAATATAATCTCCCAAAAACTCATAGTGAAATGTAGCAATGAAACAGAAATTAAATGTCTTCTAGCAAGCTCAACAAAATGAATTGGTCCCAAATAATGTGAGTCATGTTAGCAATTATTTCTTGGTTAGGTTTTATTAATATTTTGTATTGCAGCACCTTCTACAAAAGGATGGCAAAGAACTTCAGGTATGTCATCACAGGGCTCCTGTGCAAGAGGTCAGGAGGTCAAGGAGGGGCAGGGATTGCTGTTCTGGCCTCTCTGTAGGGAGGAGCCGTATGTAAGACTTTGACATTGGGATGTCAAGGGCATGACCCCGGCCTGGAAGCATATCAGAAGAAACTAATAAATATTCAGTTAGGCTTTCTTCTAATCCAGGCTATTTCCAATAGGATTTAAGTCTAAAAGGATAAAAAGAGAGTGAGGAGAGAGGGCAAGATGTGGAATACTTATATTTATGAAGAATCACTATCACAATTCCACCAGGGAGGAAGAATCTCCAATTTCACAGTATGTTTATGACCTCATCCTCTGCTACTTTAGAAGCAGCTCTGCAAACACTGTTGTTAGGTAGTTGGCAACAGATCATATTTTTGAGTTTGGCCTATTGTCAGGGGGTTTTAGGTTTACCCTTTCAATTATTTATACCAACTGTCTACCTCTGAAGCTAGAATCCAGTTTGGGAAGGTGAATATCTGTGTGTGTGTGTGTGTGTGTGTGTGTGTGTGTGTGTGTGTGTTTTCTGAACTGAGGCCTGCAAACAAAACCTATTTGGAGTGGTATTTTGGGCTTTTCTTAGGAATTATAAATGTTTCTAATGGCACTCACCAGGTAGGGAGTTTCTTGTTTCTTTAAACTTTTGAGAAACCAAAAGAAAAGTAAAATAAAATCATAGTAAACTTATATATTGGGTTGTCGGAAAAGTCATGACATATTTTTTTCTATGTTTTTCATTGCAAAACTGCGTCATGACTTTTCCGACAACCCAACAGTTTACAATGTAAATTTTATAGAGTGTTTTCTTAAACTGGATCATCTCCCAAAGCGGATTCAGAAGTTTGTCTCTGGCAAACTCCTCTCCCCTTTGATATGGACTGCCTAAGATAATTGTTTCCCCCCCAATAGCCCAACTTTCTATCTCCCTGGTAATGCTTTATCAGGAGAACTTAAGCTATTTAAATCAGCATAAATAATCCAAAAGTCATCTTACACTGTTATGTAAAAGGCTATAATACATGTGGACTCAACTGGCACAATGGGTAGAAAGGGACAGAAAGCGTTTTGAAAATTCAGATAGCTTAAAAATCAATGTGCTGCAGTGAGAGGCTAGCAATGTGTCTGTATGTATAGCTTAACTTCCTTTCCAAGAAGACAAAGCATGGCTTTTATATTTAGCATTTTAACCCTCTAAGAAACAAATTCCCAGACTCTAAACCCAAGTACGATTTTGAGTAATACAAAATCAGGTGTGTGAACCAATCTTTTTCAATCTGACTGCAATGTAAAGTCCCCATGACTGTGCTGCTTTCTGTCTGAGCTGGCAAGCTGCAATTGCCATGAAATACAATTTCTCAAGAAACCCACACTTTAAATTATATTAAATAAATAGACGGCAATAATAACATCAAAACTTCCAAAAATCAGATACCAAGAAACTAAAGGCCATTTCCCAAGGACATTCTACTTTAGGGAGGCTGTCCCTAAAGTAGACATTCCTTTGTAAAAAGAAAAAAAAAAGATTTTAAAGTAGTATCTTTTCACATTATCATTGACACAGACCTTTATCTGGACAAATCAATTTTTGATAAAAAAAAAATCCAAGTTCTTTTCAATACCAGTTACTGGAATTTGAGACAATGACAAAAGAAAGAAACAGCCATAAATACACAGAGGTTTTTAAATAGGCTTTTTTTTCTTAGGTCTTTAATCTCAAATTTTTATCCTTCATATGATAATTCCAAATAATCAGCCTGGAAACAAGCAGCGAAAAGTATTTGAACTGTAGCTCAGAACGGAGATTTCTATCTGTGACTCTGATTTGTTATTTTGAATGCTGGTGATGGCTCATGCAAAAGAGTATTGTATAAAAAGCAAAACCTAAGACTGCTGTTTCCCCTGATAAATCTGATTGTTTCCATAATTACAGACTTATGTCTCAGGATATACAATCTTAACCTTCAAATTAAGAGTAGGTAGGAGACTGAAACCAATCACTGACTTTTATTTCCAACCAGGAACAATAACATCTGATGTCACTATATTAAAATGTCTTCCTGTTTAATATCAGGAAAAATAAATACATGATGCCAGCTCAGTATGTCATTTGGTCCAAATTTCATATTCAAACTACCAAACCCCCCCCCCCAAACCCCAAAACTTAAAAAAGTGGATAACACATACAAACATACACATATACCCAGTGGGCAAAAAAACAAAACAAAATAAAGCTGATGCTACTGCAGCATTCTTAGCAAGATCATTAGGGAAATGTATAAACACAACATCTTTTCTTTCATATTAACATCTGAAAAGAAAAAACAAAAAACCCTAAATGTCCATGTATTGGAAAAAAGAAGCAAGTGGAGGTCCGGAATCCTTGTAAAAACTGCTGAACAAACTCGTCCATTTCTCTCAAGAGCGTCACCAGGAGAGGCAGTTTTTCAACATTTGTGCTTCATGGCAAGCTGAGGAGGAAGAGGTGCGAGAAAAGGAAGATGTTATTAGCCGCGGGGATAATTTGCTGCGCTGCTCCGTCCCCACGTCCACAATGGGCAGTGGCACCAAGGTTCTGCTTGCTGGGACAGGACGCCATTACTAGTCACAGTGGCATCTACTAAATGTGCAATGTTTTCCCAAATTATCCACAGAATGGGAGAGTGCTGTGTGGTTTTCCTCCATTCCACTGATGGAACAGAGGGAAAAGCCAATGCACAGGCAAAAGGAGTGACCTGCCCTAGGAACAGGTGAGGGTAGAAGAGCAACAGCCTCTGGGCTCCCAGGTGACTAGGTATCCAGGAAACCCAACACTCCTCAAAAGTAGGTATTTACTGACATCTCATAAAGTATTAAAAACCAACAACTTTGGAGAAACCATCTTCAACAATCCATTCACTATCCAGCCTGGACATTCAACCAAGTCAAGGGCACTTGATTAAACCGTGTTACTGGCTCAGGCTGAACAACAGACCAAGTCCAGACCTCAGTTTCCTACTCTCCCGCTGGCATTTGGGAAATGGGGTATATCGAAATGTTAGATCTTTGTAAACGGAAACACCAGATACCACTGTATCCTTCAACAGCTTCCCAGGCTCAGCTGGAGCCCCTGATATTATATTTAAGGAAATGTATGCAGGTACAGAACATAAAAATCTGACATTGCTCTCCTTAGCCAGAGCCTTTTCATGGAGTTCGTACACTGATGTGAACCAGAAGGCAGAGTTGAGTTGTAATTCTTCATGTGTCCAGAGTCTGATGACATTAGGGTAATCCCTGAGGTTGGGGCTGGAGTGACAGGGGGTAGGCGGCAGGCAGGGCTCTGCGCTTGAGATGGTTTTTGAGCAAAGAGCGAGTGAAGCTCCACAGGCAGTAACTTTGTAGAAAGTCCTGTCATCGGCATCATGAACAGGTTCCCAGAGCGTGAAGAACCCCACTGATTCTACCCCAGTGGAGCCCCGCATCATACTAGATGTCGGTGGTCCATTTCTCCAGCGTAACCCAGGGCAATCCTAGGCTCCCCCTCCCCTTCTTGATGTCTTCAACAAAGAAGGAATAACCTGGGGCTGCCACCTCAGCTAGGCTACCTGCAAAAGCAGCACCAGCATTTGTCTCGAAGCTGGTGTACCCGGGCCGAGTCAGCATGTGATGGAGAGGGGACTGTGGTCCTAGACCCCATGTTGCTAAACTAATGTCCACCTGGGAAACCTCGGCTGATCTCTTGGTGCCTCTGCCTGGTGAAGAAAGCCTAAGCAAACACCCCTGCAGGCCTTCTGCAGTGCTGACACCAACCTCCTGTCAACCGTCAGACAGTGTTTGTGAGTCCTGAATATGCCCAAGCTGCTGCTGAGTGCTGTGGGTTTTTGCCACCAAGGATGGAGCTAATGAATAACTCCTGACCTCAAAGAGTTTCTAGTCTGGGAAACATGGTAGGTGGAAATGGCAGAGCCAGGGCCCTCCCTCAGATCCGTCCCACTCCCTGGCCACACCCTGAGCCCCTCTGCTGTATGGCCCACTTCTTGCTCTGTCTCTAGTTTTTATATATATTTAGCACTGTGGGCTGTTCAAATCAACACAGAGCTGTTAAACGTTGTGCATAATGAGTAACAATCATAAATTTTTAATCAGTGCTGTCCTGTTATTCACTGAGCTGTTAACCTTCAACTAATGGGCTTGTGCCAATTCACCCAGTCATTAGTCTTCAGCAGCGACTGCCGCTCACACCAGGCCCTGGTGACCGCTACAGTGTGTCTGGAATGGCATGAAGGGGGGGCCCACCCAGCCAGGCGGGCGTGGCCAGCTCAGCTTTGCCGAATACAACTGGGTTGTACATTCTGCTATTTGAGGTATTTTTGCCAAAAGTGGAATCATTTCCATGCCACCTAGGTTTTTGTTTGTTTGTTTGTTTTAAATTCCCTGGGAGTTAAGAGCTTTAGAATGTGGAAGGCAGGGTCCTCTTGCTTCCCTGCTATGAATCTGTTGTATGACCTTGAGCTCTAAAGGCACAACTGCTCTGTATCTCATGTCTATAAATATCTCCAACTCAAATGCTTATGGATCAATTTAGAAGTCAGAGTTCCACAGAAGAGGAGTTTAAAATTTCCTTTTGACATATTTTGTTTTCTTAATATCTCCTGGAAAGCTTTCTCTTTCAAAGCTGTGTAAAATCTCCACCTCAATAATCATAATCATAATCATAATAAATCATTAATCATACTGAGGGGATTCTTTAAGAGGCCTGGACTCTTGAGATCCTTTCTGGCTCAGAGACCCAAAGGAAGCACACAGAGCAAGGACAGAGGCAGCCATTCCCCGCCAGTGAGAGAAATGCCACGTATTATTCCCTCCCCCACAAATGTGGGCTTGTGCAAAACAGGGCATATTCCTGCCCCTTTCAGGGAGAAATGTCATCTGAGGTTGCCTCCGTGTGGGTCCTGCTCTCGCGTGCTGACTCACCGCCTGTGGCGGGCGTCAGAGTGCTGCACATACTGCAACGCTGTGCTTTTTGGGGCAGGGGAAAGTGAGCAGGCCTGCTCCGTGGCTGAGTTGCACTTTCCTAAGGGCTGAGGCTGTGCCAAGCCCACAGCTCAGGAAGGAACCGCGCTTCCTCAAGCCAGGCTGACCTGAGCTAGGGAAGTGGGGGTACAGGAGCATTTTCCATCTGCTCTACAGAGGACAAGCACCCACAGGTCTTGATGCCAGGTCTGTGCAAAGGTGATCCCACTCACTAACATACCTGGGTCATTGAAGGAGTCCTGGGGAAAACTGTAAAGTGGAAGATCCTTTTCTACTGTCATCTAAAAAGGTGGGCCATATTCTGCAGCTGAAGTTGCATGCCCTTGTTCAGCCAGGAAACATGGAAGAGCCGTCACCTGGAAGTGCTGTTCTCTGCTCAGGGCTCTAACACGTAGGCTGTCTAGACTTGTAAATACAGCCCATTCTTTATGAGTCAACACAGTCATGTTTATGTGGAGGGATCGGAAGGCCTGGCTTCCATCTCTGAACTATCTCCTCACCCGCGGGCCTGGTGGGGGCTTGGCCAGTGAAAGACATCTTCATGTTCATCCTACACCAGTGGTCATTGGGAAAATAACCACACCTTCTCTAAAGAGGTTCTCCTCGTTAGGAGTTTTGCCAACGTTGGTGATTCATAAGCACATATCCCAGTTTTTAAAAAATGACAAGTCTGGCTCCGACAGTGTCTCTCTCACACTCCCTCAAATGCACAAAGAGATACTAGCAGCCCCTCCCCTTCCTGTTCCCCCTCAGAACACCTATAAGAGAGGAATTCACTGGCTGGCACCAACCCTCCTAGTGGTCAAAGCACAAGGCCCCTTTGCCTTTGGTGGATGGATCCTGTTTCAAGGGCTGCTCTGTGTTTAGAAAGCATCAGCATTAAGCAGAAGGCCCTCCCAGGCCCCTTTGGAGGGCACAACATCTTCCCCTCCAACCCCCACAATCCCTGTGTTAGGATGCTCAATCACATTTCTCCAAACTCTTCCCCCTCCCTCCACCAGCTCATTATTTGACTAAATAGGGCAGGTTCAGCAGAAACCATTTTTATGGAAATAATTATAACTAATATTAATTCAGATTTATATGTGCCAGGTATAGTGCTAATAGATTCATAGGTATAAATTCATTCAATTCTCTCAATACTCTAGAAGATAGGTACTATTATTAATTAGCCGTATTTTACTGATGAGGAAACTAGGGCTAGGAGAAATTAAGCACTTGCTTAAGGTCACTGAGATGGTAAATCTTAATCACAAGATGTTAACTACCATACCATACTGCCTTCCCAACTCCTTAGCAAACTTGGCCACAATATCGGGGAAACAGGGTGACGAGGGCCAGGAATTCTGGCCATCTGGTTAGGCTGTCCAGTCCAGTGTTTGCACAAGCTCCTCTGAAGGGGCCGCCCACATGGATGACCTCCAGGTTATTGTCTACTTCATCTTAGGAAGGGCGATTTCACAGACTTCCTTGGTAACCTGGTTTATGGTTTAATCATTAACCGAAGCTCTTGTTTTTAGCAGAATTTTGTCAGGGAACCATTGATTGCTCTATTCTGGTAAGGCACAAAAGAGAGCTGCCTGTATGACCACACTTCCCAGGCTTGAAGACAATTACAAATGATTCCCTTTAGCCTTCTCATCCCCACATCAACACTTTAATTATTTCCCCAGACTTCCTCTGTCCATTCCCCATTGAAATCACTAGAGCTACTGTTTGTATAAATGAAGCTGGGGCTGTAATCCTAGCATTCCCACCTCATCATTTTTTCTGAAGGAGGGACGAAGGGATGTTGTCTTGCTCCCTCTGCAACAACCACGGCAAGCAGAGGCTCTGGCCTCCAGCAGGGCTGCCTGCATTTTCAGACAGACCTGGCCAATTCTCCTCCAGGGAACCCCAAAGGGGTCCCAAGGCAGCAGTGCAGTAAGACCCTGTCCGGAAAGAGAACTGATGACACAGCAAGACAGGTCTGTGCAAAGGGGATGCAGGAAGGGAAGGCAGGAAGCATCCACTGGGGATTGGATCCAGTCTGGTCCAAGCCTGAGCTCTGGGAAAGGCCAGCTTGGCTCAGCTGGGGAGATTTTTCTTGTTATTTTTCAGGTTGTCCATTTTTGTTTCCTCAAGAGAAGTGGGGTTTTCTGTTGAAGCCAATTAATTATTTCCCCCCAAAGGTCACCCAAAAAGCCTATCTGTAGGGCCAGATCATGAGTCTGAGATGCCAACAGTTATCAGCGGAAGTTGTTTCTGGAAACCTAAATGTGAACCACTAGCCAGAGAAGAACTGCCCTTTGATCTGAAGCACAAGAACAGCCGTAAATCCTCTTTGTCATCTGACCAACAGGGCCTCTCTTTCCTTTGGTTTGTGACTGTCTTAGATGGCTGGCCGCCAATAAAAACTCCCCTTTCCCTTTCTGAAAGGTGCATTCTGAGGAGTGTGTGAAAGTGGATGTGGGTACTCATAGTCACAGTCATGTGAGAAGTGCTTTTCTCTGGGTTCAGACAGAGGTGGGAGGGGACCATGCAGGCAGCTCTGCACGAGTCACATCAGCCTCAGAGGTAGGTCTGCAGCCCTTTGCAGATGGCAGACTAGCTCTGAGGTGTGCTGTGCCCTGGGATTAGAGCTTGCTTTTCAAACAGTGCAAGGAACACAGGATGCTAAACTCATGATCGGAAAAAGACAGTAAGGAAAAGTAAGCATGAGCAGCCCAAAGTCATCTTTCAAACGCTGGCCAAGGGGGGAGGGATATTCTGGGACCTGGCCTCTTCCCTGCCCCCTTCTGTTCCCTGAAACCCGAGCCTTAAACTTCTGGGCAGGGAATAAAGGTTGTCCACATATCCCAAAGGTCTAAGGTCAGAGATAGGGATGTAGACATCAGACAGGAGACTTCCAAAGAAACACACACAGGAAGGAATCTTTCATGACTCCGGCACTTAGTAAGTAGCAGATGGAAACTGTATAAGGTGGGGGGAAAGGCTTGATTTTGTATCTGCCATCATGGACAACATACTGCAATAAAGTTTCTTGGCACCGAAGCTCCCTGATGACCCAGAGCCAAGACCTCTGCCATCCTGCAGGACCCACCTTGTGTGCAGTTTCTGCAAACTGCTGGGCGCTGTTCTTCATGTCCTCTGTCTTCTCCTCTGCTCGGCCTAATCGCTCCCCACGCTCGTTCAAGGCCTGGCTCGCTTTCTGCACAGCACTGGACACGCTATCAGCTGCTGAATGGAGGATGCTGTTTCCTGAAGAAGGACAGCAATAGCGTCAGAAGCTGGCTTGGTTGACCTACAGTGACAGACCCCTGCCAGGGGTGAGTACCCTGTACCAGAAAGGCAGGTCACACTATAGAAAGCCCTCGGGGATCTAGGAAACAAGTCAACATTTCTTCTGGTTGGGTCTGATTGACTCCCTTGTAGGAAGAACACTCATTGACCTGGCAGGACCTGGGCAAATACTGAAAGCTTCTTTCACACCCTCCTCACCAACACACACTCATGTCCATTCTCCTGGCATTCTGCTTGGGGAGGCTCAAAAGGACCGGGTCCACCTGGATTTAGGACTTGGCTCGCAAAGGTGAATGGAAACCCTGACAAGTTCAGAGATGTAAGCAAGTTCAATGAGACATATCTGGATCTTACATGCATTTCCTCTTGACCTGGGGTTTAGATGAATAACCACAGGAAAACCGGGGGACAGGACTTTTCCAGATATAATGTTCCATATTCCTTTTAACTTTTCTGTTCTGTTTTACCACTTCATGCCTAAATGTATGGCTCCAGGTAAGACGCTCTGAATCAACCTCAAAGTCCAGAGTTAAGTGTGTCAGCTCCCACCCTTGAACCCTAATCCATGGCTTGGTTGGTTGGGTCCCTTTGCCTCTGATCTCCAGTATATGAAATACGGGGGCTCAGCACCTCACTTAGCCAGCAGATAGAAAACAGTGAGCCAGTCTGAGAAGAAACTTAGCATCCCAGATTCATGAGGGATGATACTGAGAAACTTGAAAACCATCACGTTTCAAAGGGTTGTGCATCCCTGATATCCTGTGTGCCAGGACTGGGAAACAGAATTCAACAGTGAAGCACTGGCAGGTGCCTAACTCACTGAGAATGAGCAACTCGCAAAATGACAACCAAAGGAAATTGACAGCTGTATTTTGTTAACACTGAGTGGAAGATATTTAATGGCATTTTATGTAATAGCTTTATCTCTTTGATTAAGTTTATTATATCATTTAACGTTGTACCTGGGATGGATACATCTAGCCACAGACAGCTTTTAATAGAAATGTAATTTCCTCTGGTCTCAGCTGCAAAGGCCTCTTAATTTCTCTGCTGTGGGAACAGTCTGTGGTTTGTGGAAAAGAATGTCACGCAAAGAAAGAAAGGGCCTGGCCCAGAGGAAGCACTTCATAAAATGGTTACCATTTTTCTTCTTTAGGAGTGGATTTCAAGGTGGATTTCCTCTATGTACCAAAGGAAGGAGAATGGGGTTAACTTAGTCTTATTACTCAGTTGCATCAAGTAGTGCGAGCCAAGACAGATCGACACAGACTAACAGGGATCAGAGATGAGGCTCTGGAGAACCGGATGAATGCAAGGGTTGGAAGGGGAAGTCTAGGGCTTCAGAACAGATTTAGGAAGAGAAACCTTGGTCGCCTTTGCTTTCACATGATACTCATGACTATGATGACAGCCTATCACCACCGCCTAACATGTGAATAGCATTTAGCCATCATAAAGCACCTTCACAAATATTATATTATCTCATTTGATTGCCATGAAAATTCTACTGAGAAGGTTGAGGTTAAGTGGCTCGCACAAGATCATGTCACTAGGGATGTGACATGGCTACCACAAGAACCTGGTTTTCCAATGACTTTTCCTTATTCTGCACCTTCCTCTTGGCAGATATGGGGTCAGTCCTGGGAAGCTAATCACTATGCCAGGATTGTGAGCAGACTAGCACAAGCAGGCTTTGACAGGTTATTTCCCAAGGTAATGCCTAACTGTTTCTGTCCTCAAGGCATTCCTCTTTGTAAGTGAAGAGTTATTGCCCATGCTGCATTGCAAGTCAGGTGCTCTCAAGAAGGAAGAGAGCAGTGTGATGGAATGGGAAGATGAAAAAGCGACTGGAAGGTGCAGAGGAGTTGGGGGGAGGGCAACTCCCTTCCCTTCTTCCTTCTACATCTCCACAGCTTGGCCACCAGAGGCTAGGAAATGAAACAGATGCAAAGGACATAGACATTTTTGAGGCTTTTGGTGCATGCTGAAAATTGCTCCCCTGAAAGATTTGTTAAACATTCAGAACTACTCATTTGAATGCATACTAAGTGCCAGGCATGGTTATGTTGACACAACTGTCAGAATGACTTTGAGGGAATGATTTAACTTCTCTGATCTTCAATGTCCTCATCTGTGAAATGCGAGTCATGTCATCCACCTCATGTGGCTGTTGTGGAAACGAAGACGAAGATGTAAATAAAGTGCCTGGAGGTGCTAAACGGACCCTTGTCCCTCCACCTCCCTGAGACCACATTTGCTCTCTAGGAGCTTTGGGAAAATGGCACAGTCCCACCCAATGCCATTGCTTGTGTCCCTCTTGTCTTCCCTGTTGTGTGGCTAAGTGTCTTGAGGCTCTCCAAAGACACTTCTTAGATGTCTTATGTACCTGTTTTGTGTAGCTCAATGTGTTGCTTAGAGAGGGAGCTGAACACATACTCATTAAATCAAGACATGCTTTGTAAATAGGATGCCTGAATCAAAAGTTGGGGCCTATCATATTGTGTTGAGTTAAATCTGGAAATAAAATGGTGTCCTAAGGCAGACAGAACAGTCATTTTCCCTAAGTAGACAGGAAGCATATTAATACCCAAATTTATTTATGCAGTCTGAGCAGAGGCTGTCAACCACAGTAAATAAAATCAACTACCTTTTGAATTATAGTCTCTGGAGAGTACAGCAGAGATCATTCTTACTTCATTGATGCTGCATTCACATCAGTTCCATTCAATATGAGTTTTTAAAAATATATATGCTGGCATCGTTTATGCTAAATGATTTAGGAGACTTTGAGAAAGCAACTCGAGATAAAGCCATAACATTGTATTCAGTCACTGTTTAAAAACACAATTAAAGGATATTTAAATGTATAGAAAAATGAGGGGGAAGGAGTAAAATATATTAACAAGTAACAATAGAAGAGAAAAAAGAGGAGGAAATATTTTTAAAAGTATACAAAACACATCAGTAGCTCAAATATCAACATAATTTCTTTTGATCATCCTAGACTTCAGGTTGTATCTTGGTAATCAAAATTCCTAATTCTATAGCTAGTAAGGAGGCTTTAATTTAAATAGAATTTTCAGCAGCTACTCACTATTATATCAAATACATATATAGATATTTGAAATGCAAAATAATCATCCTTTTGAGGAAAAAGATAGTGGAAAAATCATCCAAAAATAAATGATTGATAAATGTATGCCAATCTATACTCAGTGCTGAGTAAGCACACTCATTTCAGAGCACTCTTTTGAAATGAAATCTGCTAATAGTTTTGCTTGGACTACTTCTATTCCACAATCAATTAACCACTTAGGAATAATTGTACAATAAGACCCATCTATCCAAACTAATTTAGAGGAAAACCAATTATGGAAAAAACAAGTGTATATATAAATGGATTTGGGTTCTAATACAATCAACTCAAAAATTGGCAGTGAGAGCTCTTATATTAAATCTGTTAATAGGTCAGGAACATTAGTAACTCCCATATCATATGCTCAAAGTGTTCAATAATAATTTACTCTTTGGGTAGATGAAATAATCCCTATTCTATTCTCATCTATGGTATTAATTTTCTTAGCAAAACCATTTCATGTTTAGACATAAGGTAAATGTATTAGTGACCAGTATTACTGACATTCAAATTAATTTTACTGGATACAAATCTATGGGTTTCAACCAAGATTTTCCTTTCCTTTTTCTACTTCCAATCTTCCTTGCTTAGCATCCCTACCACTAGAGGACATAATGTAAAAGAAAAGTCTCATGGAAACCTGGTTCTGTGACCACAGGGTCCCTTCTCAGTTCTAAAGCCACTCTGAATCATTTACACACTATTCTGCTTCCTGAGATGAGCGCCTACCTCCACCCTCGTTGGTGGTAATTCAGTTGCATGGTAATCGTGATGCTTCTAAGGAGGTTCTGCTTAGTACTGTGACCTGCACTAAACGTTTTACAAATCAACAATAATTAAAATAATAATGATGATATGAACTTCCATATCTACAAACAGAGTGATTAAATGCAAAGGCCTATCTGGTAAAACAAGGTGGTTCTTAATTCACAGACTCCGTTAATGATCTGTGAGTGTGGGTAAATTACCAAGCTCTTTCAACATTACATTGACTAATCAACACTAATCACACTACTGCACTTCAATGTTGGACAACGTCTAGAACCCCTTGTAAGATGGAGATTTTTTTCGAAAGGTTAAATTTCCCTCGTACTTTTGGGGTACTGACTAATCAGAGAAATTCTGTTACAAATCCAGGTTATGTTACAGCAAGCCTTTCTAAAAGAAGAGTTGTTACCCCATGTTGGGCACAGATGCAGCAAGCCAGTTACTCACAGAAACAGCTCCTATTCACGACTGTCTACTGCATGCAGGTGCTATGGTAAGTTGTCAAATTCCTCGCAGGAATATATTCTTACCGTATTTTACAGTTGAGGATACGAGTGCTCAAGGAGGTAAAGTATAATAGCTTACCTCAGATCACCCAGATCTTGATCCCAAGGTTTTTTATTATTTTTAAATAAAAATCGTATATATTTAAGGTTTGCAACATGATGACTGATGTACATATACTACATAATAAAATGATTACTAGAAGCAAGCTCATTAACATATCCATCTCCTCACAGCTACCATAACCAAGCTCATTAACATATGCATCTCCTCATAGCTAATTTTTTTTGTGTGGTGAGAGCCTTTGAAGTCTGCTCTTCTAGCAAATTTCCAGTGTTAACTACAGTATTATTAACTGTAGTCATCATGCTGTGCATTCAATCTCTAGATTTATTCATCCTACAAAATTTCAACTTTGTACTCTTGGACCAGGAGCTCTCCCTTTCCCCCACATCCCTGCCTATGGTAGCCAGACACAGAAAACAACCTACATGATCTCACTTACATATAGAGTCTAAAAAGTCAAATACATAGATGCCAAGAGTTCACC